CTCCGAGGTCTGCCTGTACAGATACTTCACATAATTCGAATATTAAAAATAAAGTAATTCCTGCAAAGAGCAGAATTTTGCACCTCCTGGAAAGGTACTGGTATTCCCCAGTAGCCTTGGTGGTGCAGTGGGTTACACATTGGGCTGCTAACCACAAGGTCTTCAGTTGGAAGCCACTAGCAGCTCTGCTGGAAAAAGGTGAGACTTTCTACTCTCATAAAGACCTACAGCCTTGGCTAAAGGCTTGAAGATAAACAAGCGGCCATCTAGCTGAGAAACAACAAAGCGCCCAACATGGAAGAAGCACACCAGCCTGTGTGGTCACGAGGTGTCGAAGGGATCAGGTTTCAGGCATCAAAGAACAAAAAATCAAATCATTGAGAATGAGGGACAGTGCGGAGTAGGGACCCATAGCCCATCTGTAGACAACTGGACATCCCCTTACAGAAGGGTCACGGGGAGGAGAAGAGCCAGACAGGGTGCAGTGTAGCAACGATGAAACAACTTTCCTCTAGTTCCTAAATGCTTCCTCCGCCCCCCACCCCACTATCATGATCCCAATTCTACTTTACAAATCTGGCTAGACCAGAGAATGTACACTGGTACAGATAGGAACTAGAAACGGAATCCAGGACGGATGATCCCTTCAGGACCAGTGGTGAGAGTGGCGATACTGGGAGGATGGAAGGAAGGTGGGGGAGAAAGGGGAAACAGATGACAAGGATCTACATTTAACCTCCTCCCTGGGGGATGGACAACAGAAAAGTGGGTGAAGGGAGATGTCGTGGACAATGTAAGATATGACAAAATAATAATAATTTATAAATTATCAAGGGTCCATGAGGGAGAGTGGTGGAGCCAGGAGGGAGGGGGGATAATGAGCTGATACCAGGGGCTCAAGTAGAAAGCAAATGTTTTGAGAATGATGAGGAAAACACATGTACAAATGTGCTTGACACAATAGATGTTTGTGTGGATTGTGATAAGAATTGTATGAGCCCCAAATAAAATGATAAAAAAAAAAGAGTTACTGCCTTGGAAACTCACAGGACAGTTCTACTTTGTGTCAGATAGACCGACTGTGAGTCGGAATCTACCTGATGGCAGTGAGTTGAGCTATTCCATCCCTAGTCTCCCTGGCCTCCCTGTGGGTCTGTCATCTTGTCAGCTGCAGTGAGCCCACCCTGACCACTGCCCTAGTTCTTCTGTCATAGCACCTTGTTTAAGAGCAGGACACGGTCTTTTGGGGCTGTTAACTTCCAGCTGCTCCGAGGGAGAAAGAGGCTTTCTGCCCCTGTGAAGAGTTACAGTCTCAGAAACGCACAGAGGCTCTTCTACCCTGTCCTTGGGGGGTGGGGGGTGGGGGATCTCTATGAGTTGGAATTGATTCGATGGGTGAGTGAGTTTTGAGTCTCAGTACTGGCATGCTTCACTGCTTGCCTGCCTTCTGCCTTCCTGCCCTGGCACGCATCTCTGGAGAAGCTGGCATCATGCTTACTCCCTGAGTCTCGGTGCCTCTGGTGCAATGGCTGAGTCGCAGCAGTCTTTGCTTGTAAACTTTTGAATGATTCCACCAGTGAATGAGTCCAAGGACATGAAGGTATTCTACATAGAATGAAAGCTCCTTGTTGACAGGGTTTTTAAAATGCTCATTAGCGTGACTGTGTGGGACATCCCCTTCTTTATGATGGTCATCGTTTTTTTTTGTTAAAGTGGGGAAATAATGTATTTAAAACTGTCTTCTCAAATTCAGAAAGCTGACATAATGCTTTCAGATGCACAGGTGAGTGTGGGACTCTTTCTTGCCTCTTGCTAAATAACCTAGCTGAGGTCTTGGGGCTCTTTTGGTTTTTTTTTTTTCAGTTCTCAGTGTCTGACAGACTGTTGCTGCTGTACCTTTTGACAGTGCCTACCTTTATGCTCCTCCTCACCCTCCTCTGAGGAACCAGTTTATCAAATTCATTTGAACCCAAACACACCTTGAACAAATTAGGTGACCCTTAGCATCATTGCCCCCAGGGCAGAAATGATCCCTGGGACACTAACTTGGATTCTTTCAGGATGTTCCCTAATGCTAATGTTTGTGTTGTTTTGTTTTAGATCAGTGGTTCTCAACCTGTGGGTCACGATGCTCTTGAGGGGTTTCTAACAGGGGTTGCCCAATTCATAACAGTAGCAAAATCACAGTTATGAAGTAGCAACAAAATAATTTTATGGTTGGGGGGGCGGGCGGGGCACGGCACGGTCACCAAAACATGAGGAACTGTGTTAAAGGGTCACAGGTTGAGAACCACTGTTTTAGATGCTTTCACGTAAAATAAGTAGTTCAGGTAAAATAAGTAGTGTAGACTGATTCATTGAACAAACAAGTAATTTGAATCTCAGCACTGGGAACTGTGCTGACCAGGGAGGCTCATAGTCCTTTCCCTTGGAAAGGAGCTGTCTGGCGGCGTAGATACTGAGCAAGTAAAAGAAGTTGTAGAGCTCTGAAGACAACCAGGTGGGAGCTGAGGGAAAGTGTGAGGGCATTTCACTTCAGCTTGAGAAAGCTTAGCCGAGGAGGTAGAACTCCCTAGCCAAGGCTTTTTTCTCCTAATCAACTTCATTGTGATATACTTTACATTCAGTGGAATTCACACACTGGTTCAAGTTGATGACTACCCGGTCTAGAGTCTTTTCTTCTCCCCACAACCACCCCCCACCCCTCCACCCTGCCTCCATTGCCAACCACTGATCTGATTAAGTCACTATACATTATTTTTCTCTCTTTTGGAATTTCATATCAACATCAGTAGATATGGACTTTTTTAGTGTCTGACTTCTTGCAGTCTATAATTATTTGAGAGCGGTCCAGGTTACAGTGTGAACAAATGTTTTATTTGTTTTAATTGCTGAGTGGCATTTTATTGTAATAATATATACCCGAGTTACCCATTTTCTGGGTGGGAGTCATGCAAACATGCTTGCCCTTACTGTTGGAATGGTTATCTTTTCCCAACTTTCTGTCCTTTTCTTTAAAATATGTCTCTTTTTACATGTCCTATAAAGTTGGGTCTTGCTTCTGTGTTCTGGAAAGCTTGTCCTCTTAATGGAGTTAATTTTCTTTTGTTTCTTTTAGTTGTGATGTTGGTGAAAGTTTACCGGGAAACCTAGTTTTCCACTTCAGTTACAGTAGCTGATAGGAGTGGGCTGTAATCCACTTCTTCCCTCTTTGCCCCATCTGATTTTTGTTTCTCTCGTGGTCCATTTCTGACCTCTCTTGAGTTGAGGGATTATTTTTATTTTCTCTGTTGGTTTCTCTTGGAAGAAAGATGAGGCTTTTCAGAAACCCACAGGGGCAGTTCTACTTTGCCCTGTGGAGTCTCTATGAGTCAGAATCAACTTGATGATTGTGAGTTTATTTTTTTCTGTTGGTTTCTTGGGGAAGCAGTTGTTAGTTCAGGTAGGAGGAGCGGTAAAGGGTTTTACCAGCCTCAGCAAGGACCTGGCAGTCGGGGTTGGAGAGTGAGGTCCACCTGCCCCAGTTCTTGCCTTTTCCTCTGGCTTCTCCCTGCTGGGAACCCCAAGTGTCCAGGAAGCCTGCTTTCCAGATAAAGCAGGCTGTCGCCTTGTAACTCCTCCTTGTAAGCCTTTGGACTGAAGCTTGTATCTGGAGAAGTCTCCATCATTATTTAATTGCTCCTTTTGGTTCAATGCCCTGGACAAATGCCTGCTCAGCTCCAGTGAACAAACTTGATGCATGGTATTCTCAAAGTTGAGAAGATTGTGAAGTTCCATAGGCATTTTGTGAGATGTAGCTGTGTGTGTGGAGGTGGGGAGTGGGGTGGGGAGTCTGCCTTCATGCTCAGGGAACCCTTCAGTGGTGGGTCACAAACACCAAAACGAAACTGCCATCGAGTTGATGCCAACTCATAGTGACCCTATAGGACAGGGTAGCACTGCCCCTGTGAGTTTCTCAGATTGCAGTTGTCTACAGGAGGAGAAAGCCTTCACTTTCTCCCTTGGAGTGGCTGGCGGTTTTGAACTTCAGGCTAGCGGCCTAGTGTATAACCCACTATGCCAGTAGGGGACCATTGGTGGCTCCCTATCCTAGAGACTGGTGTTTTGGGCGGAGAGCAAGGCTGCAGGGTGATAAGGATGGTGTCAGAATCAATAATTAGAATTATTCAAGCATTCCCTCCTCCCTGTACTCTGCCCCTCCTGCTGCACTTTTGCACACGAGGAGACCAAATATTAGAGTTACTTTCTTTTTTTAATTTAATTTTATTTTGTTTTGAGAGTTATTTTCAAGGCATGATTTATCTCTTACATCAGTGGTTCTCAACCTTGCTAATGCTGCGACTCTTCAATACAGTTCCTCATTTTGTGACCCCCCCCCAACCATAAAATTATTTTCGTTGCTACCTCATCACTGTGATTTTGCTACTGTTATGAATTAGGCGACCCCCAAAGGGGTCTCCACCTACCGGTTGAGAACAGCTGCCTCACATCATTCTCTCTTACAGAAGTTACCTTACTGTATTTCTCTGTTTTGTTTGTAGTCCAGGGCAGTGTTTTTGGCGCTCCTTATTCAAGAGAAAACTTTTCTTTGTAGGCTATTCTTTCTCGAAAGCTTTCCTTAGAACAGTGGTTCTCAACCTTCCTAATGCCTCGACCCTTTAATACAGTTCCTCATATTGTAGTGACCCCCAACCATAAAATTATTTTTGTTGCTACTTCATCACTGTAATTTTGCTACTGTTATGAAATGGGCATCCCCTGTGAAAGGGTTGTTGACGACTCCCAAAGGGGTGAGACCCCCAGGTTGATACCTGCTGCCTTAGAAAATGATAAATCAAGTCATCCTGTGTGTGTTTGCTCTCTTGTAGTCGAGCGAAAGATGTGATTATCCCAGCAAAGCCACCGGTCAGCTTTTTCTCCTCGAGGTCGCCGGTCCTTGACCTCTTCCAGGGGCAGCTGGACTACGCTGAGTACATCCGCCGGGACTCGGAGGTGGTGCTGCTGTTCTTCTATGCCCCCTGGTGTGGCCAGTCCATTGCCGCCAGGACGGAAATTGAGCAAGCAGCCAGTCGGCTCTCGGACCAGGTAATGTTGCCATTCAGCCTTGAATCTGATGACTTCAGCCCTCAGTGGACAGAGTGTAGTTACCAGGGAGACATTGGGCCCCATGGGTTGATTTTTGCCCAGTGATGGCCGAGCGCACTCAGTGTGTGGGGACGTATCCTGTGCAGGCAGTGGGCCTGGAGCCGGGTATCGGCAGAGGGGCGGCAGCCTGAGAGGGAGAAATGCCCGGGCTTGAAGATCTCTTATTTAGAAGTGGATAGAGGGTACAACTATAAGTATAACAAGATGGGACCTTTTGTTCCATTTCATTGTCAGTACAATACATACAGCAAAGCTTGCCATTGTAACCGTCTGAGGGTACAATTCAGTGACACTGATCACATACACCATGCTGTGCAGCAGTCCTCGCTTTCCGTTTCCAGAAGTTTCTCATCCACCCCTCACCTTCCCTTCCCACACTCCTTCATTCCTAGTCCAGCCCCTGGTACCCTCAGACAAAGTTCAGTCTCTTTTGTGCATCCAAGGCTGGCCCAAGCAGTTCATGATTGCCCCTCTGCACTGGCCTAAGTGTGATAGAAGCCATAGCATTGACTTCCAACTCAACAACCTTTGATTGCCCTTTCAGACAGGTCTTTGCTGGTGCCTCCTTTACTATCCTGACAGTAGTTCACAGGTGGCCAACCTGCCCTGCACATAGGAAGTCCTGGTCAACTCCCTAGAGTGCTCTTGGTAGCACAAGAGGGCTTCAGAAAGCTGGTGAACACATGGAATTTCATGAATTCTTTGAAGTTCCCTTGTATAAAGGCCTGGAAAGCAAACGTAATTTGATTATATATATATGCGTCCATATGTAAGTCCTTGGACAAGCAGGTGCTTGTTCCTCTGTAGACTCATTCATGTGGCAGTGACAGCAGATGCAGACCGACAAGGTATACTGTGCCAATGGCTCTAGCACTGCAGGCCTTTCTTTCAGTGACTGGCGTTTCTGAATGGTCACCTGCCCTGGGTGAAGTCCTGAGCTGCACCCACAGTATTCAGCCCTCGGTTTGCATAGAAGTTGCCTTCCAGAGAAAGCCAGTGACCCATAGAGCCTTGCTTTTGGATCCATATGTAAAATAAGGGTTAGATCCTGTGTTTGGATGCTAAGCAGGTTTTTATCCAAGGGCAAGGAGCCTTTGTGGCACAGTGGTTAAAAGCACACTGCTGCTGACCGGAAGACTGGGCCGCCTGGAGAGCCTAGCTCACTCTTTGACAGTCCCACTTTGAGGCCAGAGACCCACAGCACTGGGGCTTAAGGGCAGCCCTCAGGCTGAGGAGATTGGATTGAGAGAAGGGAAGAAATTGAGAGTGCCTGGAAGAAAAGCTCAGGTTGGATATGGGATTGGTCAAGTTGGTCAGAAAATAATCTCTCCCTCTCCCCCCACTGCCTCCACATTCCTCAGTAAGCACCCAAAGGGCTCAGCCTGAAGCATGGGTGTTGCTTCTTAACTTCTCTCACATCTGCTGGCCATTGGCCTAAGGATTGATGAGAGGGCTTCAGAAAGCTGGTGGAAAAATTCCATTTTCCCACAAACTTTTTGAAGTCCTCTCATATATTGGAAGGCACCCGATACCTCAACCAACACATTTTGAAGAACATTTGAATTGATTTTGTTTCTACAGTTCTGAGAGCACTCACCGCAGAGCCAGCTCTCTGTCTCTGGTCTGTAAAAGCTGAATGCCCGGTGTGGTGACATCCAAACCACGCTGCTCTGGAGGATCAGCCGGTGGTAGGCGTGTCAGACTGCTTTTATCTGCTGCAAATTTTCTTTGGCTATCATACCCAAGTGTATGAGTCTGGGTACTTTGGAGAAACAAATCCACAGCAACTCATGTATAAGAGAGTTTTATGTAAAGAAAATGTGCATCACGAAAACATCCCAACCCAA